TTGGCTTCAATAACGGGGAGTGCCTTCTGTGCTGGTTCAGGTTCAGGAGCTGTGCTAATTTTGTCTTTGGAAGAAAATAATCATATTGCTTTGAACAAGACAGTATCTATTGGTAACTTTCATTTTATTCTCCTGCTTTTACCACTGATTTATCAAATTCGAGAAATTTTTGTTCAGCTCTAGGGAGAATTAATAAAATAAATGGATGATCTAATAATTTGATGTTCTTGTTATGGCTTTTGGTTGAGAAGCTTTTGAAATTCAAGAATAATTTTATTTGAATTCAAACAAAATTATTTTAAATACAAAGAATTATAATTGAATAAGTTTAAAAAAATGAATTATTGTCAGGCTTTAGTACGCATGTTATGTCACTGGCATGCAATAACGAAATTATCGCTGCTGGAACGATAGATGAAATCAGTCTTATAAGCGTGTCGAAACAACAAATAGAATATAGAATGAAATTACCTCGGATTGAAAAACGGAAACCAACTGTTGTTTGGTGCTTATGCTTCATGTAACTTATTTTCATTTTCATTTCATTATTTTGCAGCAATTTCTTTTCACGTATTAAAATAGTTGTTTAGAAGTTTGACCAATTTTTTGAAACACTTTTTAATGTTCAGTGAAATAATTCTCTCCTTTTTCACGCTGTTTTTGCTATTACTCAATATTTTTAAAACCTTGAGGGGCACTTTTTTCTACGGAAATAAAGTCAAATCTGATTTGATTCGTGGTGTAGTTTTAAAGGAAAACTGTAAGGCAATAATTTCAGCGGCGATTTATTGGCATCGGGTGATTCACGAGGATATGTAACATTCTGGAATGCATCGAATGGTGCATTTTCACAAGTAACATTTATCGTACACCCTTCTTTTCTTTTTATAATGGAAAATTCAGTATTTTATTGTGATTTTTGGATTATCTCAGAAAAATCCTATTTTTGAGAGGAAGTGATATTTCAGTGTTTGCAAACACATCAAAGTGATATTTTATCGATAACTGTAATGAATAACTCACTTTATGTCGCTGGTGTAGATCCTACAATTGCACGACTTGGCCTTAATCAGGTTTCTGTATTTACTTGTTACATCGATAGAGAGGGACAGTAGGATTTGAACGAGCTATATTATGAAAGTTCTGAGGCAAAAATTCTTATTTTGACCAAAATCGTTGATTAGATGAGCATATGTGGAAGGAAGACGACTACGTGAACACTGATAAAGCCTCTCTTTTTCACATTTCAACTTGAAAATTAATTTTAGGAACATAATGCATATCGCATTGAACATCGAAGAACAATTCATAACAATGACGTACGAGCTCTGGTTGCATCGGAACATACAACGGCTCTCTATTCTGGTGGTGCCGATTACTACTTTTGTGTTAGTAATCGTTCCAAACATGTTGACGCTTTAAAAAATGTAAGATTCTAGTTTTTTTTTTTTTTTTTTCGTGAATTTTCCTGGCTTTAAATAAATGTTTTCTCATTATTAGCAGTCACTAGATTTAGCACAGTTGCTATTTATGTTGGTCCAACATGTTTTGTGTGGGATGTGATCTGTTACAGATGAACTGTGTTTCTTATCAGAAACAGTTACCTCAATGGAATATTTTTTAGATAACTTGTAATGTTGTTGAGAATGCAAATTTCTTTTTCTACCAGTACGATAGTCGTATTGTTATTTGGAAAGCTGGTAAACCTACTACAGTAGCATCAGAGAAAAGGATTCATTGCTTGGCAAAGGGTCCAGTTAAGTTAGCTCAGTTGCGGTCTTATCGTGGAGAATTCATTGTATCAAGGTAAATTGATTTTATTATTAGCTTTTATGGCCAACCTTTTGCATTATGAAAGTCATTTTCAATGACAGAACCACTTTTGCTGTGTTAACTAATAGACATCCTCTTAACAGGACAGGTGCAGAAAAAAAATATGCGAATATTTTTTCTTTTTTCTACATTTGAATTTCATCTCCTTAATGTGCCATTTTGTAAAAGGAAACATTCATATGTTATTGTAGTAATTAACTTTCTACTCTATCTTTTAGTGCACTGAATAGTGAAGGCAAATTATTAGCAGTTTCTACAGTTTCTACATTCAATACATTCTCATTCTGTTATTGTAGTAATTAACTTTCTACTCTATCTTTTAGTGCACTGAATAGTGAAGGCAAATTATTAGCAGTTTCTACAGTTTCTACAGCAACCATTTATAAGTTGGATCTCAATTCCTCGAAAGAACTCAGCATATCTGTCCTGAAGAGAATGCATATTTGTGGAACAGGATTGCTATTTACATCAACATCTTTGTTTATTGCATCTGGATGTCTCAGAATATATGACTTACCAATTGATGATTCTATACCACAATATCCAAATGTAGTCGCTGAAAGAGGTGCTTCTGTTACTTTTATGTTAATCACTCTTTGTCAGAGCAGACTTTTCAATTTTCTTTTTGACAAGTATTTTATAAACAATAAATTTTATGGAGTCTCATCATACAGCATTGACGGGATAGGATACATGATGCTTTTATATGAATGTTGTTGGTTTTCAGATAACGCTGGTGAGGTAGTTCGACTACACTCTAACATGAACGAAATGTCTCTTGTATTACTCACAGCACGAAATGAGCTTTTTATTCTGGAAATCCGCAAAAAGGTTTTTTTTTTCTTTTTTTTACTAAGAGAATTTTAAAGTTGTCATCTGTAACTTGGTATGTTTTATTTTCTTACTTTTTTTGTCACCAGTGCTATTATATAACATCTTAACAGAAATTTTCATTATCTTTAATTTGTAATATAGCACGTTTAATTATCAATTCTCATTCATAATAAGTTCATTCTATTTACGTCTGTTTATATCAATGTCGTAAGAGTAAATTTTTGTTTTTCTATTATCTATAAACATAAATTCTTTGCTGGTAATGAATTTTTTCATCTTTCTCGTCTTTTGCTTCTGTTGTGTTTTCTTCTTTGATTTTTTTTATTTCCATAATCTCTGCAGAGTTCTCTTTCTTTAACTTTTGTTATAATTGCTAATGACCTAATATTCAAATAATTTATTGAACTGATATAACGGAGAGAAATATTTTGCAGCTTAACATAGCTCTCCTTCTGATAATTTTTCCAATAAAAATGATAATTTTTTTATAGACATTACGAAAGTTGGAAATTCCCGGCACAAACATTTTTATTGATGCTCAATTTATCAGTCTTACTTCGCTTTATATTCTATGCGCTGACAGAAAATATACACTTATCGAATATGACACCGATACAAATATTCTTAGTGACAATACGATTTCAACGGAAGCACTATGCATGTTACCGGACGAATCAGTTTTACAAATGGATTGCAATAGTTCAAATGATGTTGTTTTGAGTGGTTCACGGGGTAGTTTTCGAGTTATTGCTGTTATCAACGGAGTAAGATCCTAATTTGGAAGTTTTTTTCTTAAATATGTATAGAAAAAATCCAATTTTATTATCGAAGAAAAGTCCGTTTTAATATTGTATAGAAAAAGAAGGCTTAGAAGACGCGGAGAAGATAGAAGATATGATGGTACATAATACATATATACACAGTATATGTCCATATACATGCATGTAGAGAAATGAAATGCATTGGTTAAAATAATTTTCCTTTTTTTCAAGTTAAATTAAGGATGCATAAAGCTCATAAAACCCTTTTGTTGGATATATATATATATATATACGGTATTGAAAACTTTTTCGAAAATTTCAATATTTAAATTGTAAGAAATAATGAGACCTGCCATTTTTTGATTAGGAATTGGTAGGTGGCTTCCTCCCGAAAATTTAATTTTGGCCAGAAATACGATAGCTCTATGTTTAGTGAGCAATAAATATTATAGATGATAATTTACCAGATCGGCATTGGTTGAATAGTTAGCTAGAGCATAGTGGCAAACCCCAATATACATCTTTACATGGTTCGTGAATTGGTGGCCATCCAAAAACACGATTAGTTTCGTGTGCATCCTTGATTTTGCCTTCTCTTTACTTTTAAGGCTTAAACTTAGAGGGTGTGATGAACTTGAATTGAGACTCATCGGTGGATGTAAAAGAAAATGACTAGAAGGAATAGAGAGAATTCATGACGATATTATCCATACACTGTTTAGAAGAATGAAGTAGAGTTGGAGAGTAATTCTTGGAAAGTAAATGATGTAGCCGGATGAAGACATGTGAGAGACAAGACCTTGATGCAGTACCATCTCTAATTTACTCTTTACACTCTTCGTTTTGCCTCTAAACCTAACATACTGCTTCTCCTCAATTCGCTTTTAATATTTTATTTGCAGAAACGAGTATTGCTATATGGACCAGAAGCATGCGCACTGAAGAAAACGGAAGAAGACGATGGAGTATGCTTGATGCGTAGAGATCGATGCAGCCAAGCCTTTTGGTTATCAGCCCGAAAATTGCTCTTCACGACTCCAATTATGCTTGCCGAACCTTCCCAAACCGCTTTTCGACTTAAACGCTACGGCCTAAATTGATAACTATTATCATATTGGTATTTGTAGACGATCACTTAAGTCTTCCAATCAAGACGTTATTTTTAGCAAATTATTTGAAATGTTTTTATAAAGAGGAAGGAAATATGTCATCATTTTTTAAATATTATAAGAAACATTGAAATCTTTTTATTCGTTATTGAAGATATGAATGCCATTATTGTTCATGGGAACCATTACATTGTTCTGGAAGTTTCATAATTTTTATGAAACAATTGTCTTCCTGTAATTGCTTATTAGGACGTACTATTGCTACCGTCCTTCTATTCTGTTTATTTTCTATGTTGATACTGTATCAAATCTGTTGTTATTGTTAAGAATATATTGTTAAATTATTATTCGCCGATATACAGCAACAATAACTAAGGTATCCAAATTTGGAGAAACGATTCCATTAAGCAGTAAACAAATTGCTAAACAAATAAGTTAATCAATTGGGTGGACAGATAAATGAATGAATGTTGCTGTCCTGTTATTGGCTTTTATGATAGGTGTTACAAAGTCAACAGAAGGACAACAACAAAAACCAGAGAAATCACAGAAAATATGTGAAACACAGGAAATTCATGGGAAGGAAGTATCAGGAGGTTATTTGACATCTCCCAATTATCCATTCAGCTATCCGTCTAATCAGGACTGCCTTTTTAATATCACTGCCTCTGCAAATTTGGTAATTCACCTGACTTTCACTCATTTCCATCTGGAAGACCGTACGTTACGCTCTAATCAATGCCTTAATGATTACGTGATCGTTACTGTGGTGGATTATCAGGGACGTGAACATATCGGTGAACGTTTCTGTGGTAATCAACTCCCTGAACCTTTGCATACCATGCAAAATTCCGTTTATATTCGCTTTCATTCTTCACATACGAACGAATACTCAGGTTTTCGACTACGTTATCAATTCTTGACGGAAGGTTTACTTTCATTCATTATTATTATTTTTTTAAATTTAAATTTATGTGATAAATTCACATTATCATCTAATTCTTAAATTTTATCTTTTCTCATCCTCTCAGTGATCAAGATATCGATTATTAAACAAGAACAAATTCTTTAAGATAGAATTTTTTTTAAAACAATCTCACTTATATTAAAATTTTATAATAATTTTTTTTTTAAAAGTTCAAATGAAAAATCAGAGTAGATGATAGTTGAAGAAAAAAATTAGGAGTAAAATGATGAATGAGAATAAAACGTATAAAAGAGTTAAAGATGGCGGAATGATGATGAAATAACAGAAATGGTGAATGGAATAATTTGAAATGTAAGAATTGAAATTTCTGAAAACATTCTTCATTTTAATTACTATATGTAAATATAGCACAAATTAACAGCTGGAACATTCTAAATCCATGTTACATCTATGCTTTTAATAAATATTGCAAATGATTTTTGATTACAGCGAAATGAGCCATTAAATTTTACAAGTTTTTTATACAAAATGCTAAGGAACAATTTAAGCTTGTTCAATTCTCAGTAATATCCAGTTCAAATAAGTTTTTCCCTGTTGAGTTAAAATTGAACTCTTTCTCAATACTGCAACCGATATATAAGTTTAAACACATCGAAGTAGTAAATACTGATTGACATTTATATTGCATTAGCAGTACTGAATAGTTACACTTATTTCTTTTGATTGTTTTTTTTAGCAATTGTACGCTTCTATGCTATTAAAGCATCAAGGATGATGAAAACATCAAGATTAAGAGCATTTCCAAATACTTATTTACGCCAAATTGAAAAGTACATGAATATAATTAAAAACAAAGAGAATTAAAAATTCTCCTTCTGACCACCATACTCGTCATTTTCATATTTCATTATTTTTGATTTAAAAATTATAATCAATGCTGATAATGGTGATGATGAGGAATACAAAATAACTGTGATAGCAATGGTAAGTCGTCGAAAATGATAACAATGATAACTTTTATCTTGTTGATTAGTCATTTCTACAGTAATATTCTCCTTTATTAATATTAGCAGTACCGGTTCCTATTGTTGGAATTAAAAAAAAAAAAAATGAAAAAAAATTTCGTTATAAAAAGGTAAAATAGCCAAAAGTATCTCTTCAAAATAAATTTCATATATGATTAATTTAAATTAAAGTTATAATTCTTCAAGTATTTCTTTAATACTTGGATTTCCAGAATCAATATTTGAACCAGCTAGTAGTTATTTCGACGATGATCTAAGATATCTGAGATATTGCGGTGGGCATAGTAATACAAAGACATTCAATGGTGAAATACGAAGTCCTGGTTATCCGTCATTTTATCCAAAAAATGTTACTTGCAATTGGTTATTACGTGTGGATCCTGGTAAAAAAATATATATACGTGTACAATATCTGGAATTATCATCGACGATGGGTTACTATTTTATTTGATAAACTAATTTCTGATGAAGAACTTTTTCACCAATCAATAACTGATATATATATATAATGTATTGTATCAATTACTAACTATTTAATCAACATTTTGGTTTTATCTGATAACTTAACTTCTGATAAGGAATTTAATCGAGCATTTTCTTATCAACGACTGAAAGATATATTTGTAGCGGAATGTGATAAAGCATCAGTGTATATAATAGATGGTTATCGTCATGACTCAACAACGGATATTGTTAAGAAGGATGATGCAAGTCAGGTGAAATTCTGTGGCAGTCAACTTTATTATACGGAGGAAGGTATGAAGTCATATATGTCCACCGGAAATCGTCTCATCGTTCGGTATTATCTTATTTCCTCCTTATACTTAATTAATAGTAATCTACCATCCGAGAATTTTCATCTATTATCCAATGAAACAACAATAATATTATTTAATACTTAAAACAATACATAAAGAAATATTTTTTCATCTGTCTCTTATGTTTCTTCATCTGTCTCTTATTAAACAAAACATATAATAGAATTAATTGATATATAACATGTTAATTAGCATTAAATAATTGCAACTACTTTTTAGATTTGTAACAAAAGATCATCCAAGTCCATCATTGCTAACAAAGTATGAGAAACAGGGTAAACCCATTGGTTTCCGGTTAATATGGACTGAAGTTGAAAACATTTTACCAGAAGGGAATGTTTGTCCGGTACTTCAATTTTTCCTTGGGAAAATTTTCATACAAAAATTGGAAAAAAAATTATGTTTACCTCATCTAAAATTTTACCTTAATATGTGATCATATTACGGATAACTGCTAGTTAAGTTATTTCCAAAAGCTAAGTTGAAATAAAAAGATAAACATGATAATAAGAAATTGATAGAGGGAGAATAGGCACTGATAAGTGATTAGAATTAGCAGAACAATTTGAATAAATGACATTTTTGTTAAATGATACGATGACATTAACATTTGTGCTTGAGATGCAATTATGCTAGCAATTACGGTAGTTACTGCTCCTAAATTGGAAATAATTCTGAGAAATTGAATTAAAATACTTTATTGAATAGTCATTCTCACTTAGGTTAAGTTTTTATTGTTAATGAGAATTTTAAAGCATTTATGATTGACATTTAAATAGACATATATGTAGCTTATTCCTTGGCTTTTAAGCGTCAAATTGGCATTTCTTTTGTTCTTCAGGAATAAACCCAAAGATTTCTCATCATGAATTTAAATTTATTAAAAGGATATTGAAATTTTTAAAGACAATTTAATGACATTAATACAAAGCAAAAAGGAAAAAATTACAGGGCTTTGCTTGCAAAGGTGGCGAATTATGCATTGATGACGGACAGAACGTTTGCGCAAGTCGAACTCAATTATGCATCGATAAATCACTCATTTGTAATGGTGTATACAATTGTGCTGAAAATGATTATACGGATGAAGAAGACTGTAAGTTATGTCTTTTCTCTCACTTATTTAATGTTAAGATTCTAGCATGAAATGTAGCATAGTTTCAAATATAAACTCTGAAAATATGTTCACGGAATTTCCAGAAGTTTTCCCAAAATTTCAATTACACATAACGACGCAATTAAAGTTAAATTACGTGAAAATTAACTGCTTACTTTATTTTACTTTAACTTAAAATCCTTTAATGTTAATAATGAATTTGAAGAAAAAATATGAATTTTCGTTACGTCTCATTGCCTCATTAGAAAAGGGGTAATGTCCTTCCTAAATTTCAGTATCCTTGTCTGATATTAAAAAACTTGATGTAGATCAATTGATAAGAATAATATCGCATCCATTTATCTGCATTTGTCATTTGATATTCTTAGGCTATTCTCAACATATTATCATATCAATATGCTCAATAATCTTCCTCCTGATAATATTCATCATATCGGTGTTTCTGTGGCAACGAAAAATTAGGCAACGTGTCGAAGAACAAAAGCGCAAACGTCTCGAAGCTGCAACAATAGGATCAGCCTCTTTAGCGGACAGTAATGGAAAAAATGCAGTCATTTGGGAAGCAACAAGGTGTTCCTCGATGAATGTTGACCCTTCGTTGGACATTCATCACCTTCATCCTGGACATTATCAGACTCACTGCCATCATTATCACAGTCAGCAAAAGCAGCACGAACAACAGCAGCAAAACCATATAGCCCTCTCCGAGATGAATACTTTTCACTCAGCTTTATTATAATTTAAGTTATGATTAGATTCAATTCTATTTTAATGTAACCCTTATCTTACACTCCACAAATATTTGGCTACACAACACATTTTACACGAAAATATTTATTTTATCCAAAACTTTATAAATGAAATTTTCGAATCAATTCCAGTAGGATTTCGTCCCTGTCTTGTAATTTCAATCTTTCATTAAGGCGCTTTAACCAAGTTTACTGTTTTCGAGACCTCCTTCTGCAGTAATAATTTATTCTGATGCTCAATTTGCTGTACTTGAAATAGCATGCATGCAATCTAACAGTTTTAGTTTCAATGAAGCAACTATTTTAAACAAATGATTGTTAACAAGCAGAAGCAACGATAAATTCTTTCGGAACAGAGTTACACATCATAGTGAGAAAAAAGACAGTAATCTAGAATTAAAAATCTATATCATCGAAATAATTCATGATTCTGGGATGCATTTTGAAATCCAGATTCCATTCTAATCACTGAGGTAAATTTTGTAACACACAAAAATCTTCACTACTTTGCTGAACACGTCCGGTCATCATCAGTAACTCAATGCTTTCCGGATCCCTAATAGCATCTTTGGTAAGCACTTCCACTGCGCCATTTGAATCAACTAAAATATCATCTTCGATACGCATACCAATACCACGAAACTCACTCCTTACTTTTTCATTGTCATGTCGCACGTAAATACCTGTAAATAAAAAAAGGAAAAAAATCTTCACTTCATCATTTTCATTCATTTGGCTCATTCTTATTGTCGTCAAGAGCATAATGATTCTAGCTTATAGCAAAATCTATAATAACTTTACCTGGTTCAACAGTGAAGGCAACTCCTGCCTGTAAGGGAATATTGCGAGCCACAGAGGCAGTATCATGCACATCCATTCCTAGATAATGGCTGACATGATGAGGACAAATTCTATCTGCTTCCTGAAAAAAGAAAAAAAAAAGAAAATTACAAGTTTATCAGGTGACGGATCGGACTTCTTTTATTTATTGATTACATTTGCACTTATCTAACAAGTTTTTTGAAAAATATTGGAAAAAAAAAAAAGAATACTTACATATAACAGTTCCTCCTTTCCCATATTGCTCGGAAACATTCCTACTTCAGAAAGATTTTTCGCAATATATTCGATCATTGCTAAATATATTTCATTCAGTCTTAGTAACTCAGATTGTCTAAGATATTCTAGGAGACGGGACTGAACGTCATTCAGTGCATCATAGATAGCTCTTTGTGGAACACTAAAATGACCAGAAATCGGGAAAACCCGCGTGATGTCGCTTGAATAACCTTCATAATCACAACCAGCATCGACAAGCATTGCATCACTACTACTGATAGCCTAAAATTCAAATTTTAAAAATGAAAAGCATAGAAGGAAATCAAATTCATTGCAACTTGAAAAAAAAAATAAAAATAGAACCTTATTTGCATCCAGATAATGTATGATATTAGCACGATTGCCAGCAGCTACTACCGGTGGATAAGCAAGACCAGCAGCACCACGACGTCGCATCTCTAGCTCTAATCGTCCGACAATTTCATTTTCATTACTAACTCCTCGACTTCTTGCTATCATTGCATTCATCGATTGTGCTCCAATGTAACAAGTTTGACGCATCAGATGTTGCTCAGCTGACGATTTAATCCACCGCAAGGCATCAATATGTTCACGTACTGGCACAAACGTATTACACGCTGATAGCACCTTCAATTCGTTCATTCTATACACTCGCTTAGTAAATTAGTAAACATACTACAGTCTCGACAAAATTATATATATTCGACGAAATTATACTAGGATCTTCCAATCCTAACACACAATAAGACTGATTAGACGAAAAAACATTTCGCATCGAAGTTATCAATTTTTAATTCAACTGCTGATTTTTCATAAATTTACCGACAATGTGTCAAATGAACAGATTAATCAAACTAAATTACGAGCTGCTATTACAAGCTAAAGAAAAAAAAAACAAAAAGAACCAGGAAAGAAAGAAGAAAACAAAAAAACCATCACCAGACAACCTCTGCTCAATGTCAGGATGATGTTTCAAATTTCAAAAATTCTAACACAAGCACATCATAAAAAATTTACCTCAGGAAGACCATCCCTTACTGCATGAATTGTTGCAGCATCATATGAAACAGCGCAATCAACAGCATTTAATACTAGTTTTTGTAAGTCAGGAATTAGTTTATTTCGATCTTTGATTTCATCTAAACCACTGATATTTGCAATTTCAGTGGCACTTAATCCAGGACCTTCCCATAATGCTTGCTTATCAGAACGTTCTAGAAAAAAATACAGCAATAACATATGGACAGTTAAAAAAGTAAAGAATATTACACCTGCTTATTAATTAATATCTAAATAATTAGTCACATAAGAAATGAGATTAAGGGAATGATAACAAACCTTCTATATATAAAATTGATTTCGATTTCTGCTCTGATTCAGCTGTTATAATGAGTACAGCGTCCGGCTGATTTAAACCGGTAAAGTATCGAAAATATGAACACTGATGGAATGGATATGGCACATCAGGAGCATAGAATTGACGTATAGCGGATCGCATAACCACAACTATACGTTTATTTCTGATTCCTGATACTGTATGTCGTAATTTGTTCACTAAATTCGAACGACGTTGCGTATACTCAGCAAGACTGATTGACTGCTTCACTGTTGTTACAGTAGCCATCGATGATGAAGAAAATATCTTCCGAAAACATCGACACATCCCACCTATCATCTTACAAGAAAAAGAAAACCTTTTTCCCAAAGAATCAAATGATATGATAGTCTCGGATCCTACAAAAGGATAGTGTCAGAAACGGAAAATAGATGATCTGGACGGCGATAAGCAAAAGCAGCAATGTATTTAAACCGTCAAAAGACACATTCCACTGAAATCTAAAAATTTCCATTGATCAAATATTTTCACCAAATAAATAGATTCATGGAATTTACATCGACTATTCCTGTTACAAATATATGGGAATAGAACTATGAATAGAAGAATCTATGAAAAAAAAGCTAATTACGGAACCGATTAAAGCCAGCTCAATACTTATATAGATCAACCCAACAGCAATGAATTTCTTGACCTTCCCATAACAAAGTTACACGGTGCAAAAGAATCAACAAACCACAAAATGTCGAGAACTCTTTTGCAACAACAGCAACTTTTTGCACTGAACTAAGGTCTTCACCGTACCGAATAAACCTGAATGTGCAGCCAACAAAAAATCTCCACAATTAAACCTCACGAAATAATGCAGAAGTAAGAATATAGCATAAATAACGTTTCTGCAACGTTGCAACCTACCACACAATTTCGGTATGTTCTCTCTAGAACCATATAATTTGTTCAGGACTTAGAAATTAAAGTTCTAAAAATACGCACTAAATTGGACTGAGCGCACTGTCGTGGAATTATAAGCATCAGCAGCAATAAATATTCGCAGCTGCAATCAAATATTTCAAAAAAAAACAAAAGGAGGAAGAAAACAAGTACTGATTGCGTCAAGTGTATAGAACGGTTTATTCCGGTATAGTAACAAAAATTCATTAAAAAAAAAATTATGACAATTTTGGAGCTAAATTCTGCCTCTTCAGTTCGTTACACAGTGTTTTTTCTCTTTCTATTTTTTTTTCAAAAAACAACCCGATCGGATATTCAAATGAAATCCCTATTGAATGTGTAATATTCACAATGCTACCATATCAGGGAAGAAAATGGGAAACTTGAAGTTGAGAGAAATGAAATTCAATCCAAGTAAAACGTGAATACGTATATATAAACGACTAATAAAGGTAAAGGTAAGTGCAAATGACGCTGACGAACAAAAAGAAATGGAATTACAAGAGATGCGCAAACCATCAAAAATCAGGCTGAAATTACGAAAAAAAGAAAAAAAGAAAAACATAAATTCTCATAAAATCTAATGAATGCAATGGGGAAAAGGAAACTTAGTAAAATATAAGATACAGTTAACAGTTTAGAGGAGATTGCAACATCTGCCATGCTTAACATAACACACAAACACACACATACTCACATATATATGCACTTATAGAGCATGAATATGATAATTACTAGCACTCATAGTGAGGGACAGCTAATCCTTCCGTTTAACTTTTCTTCCTCTTTTACAATAAACAATAGTAATCTATGACGCGCTCCAATGTTGTGGTCCACCCCCGTATGCCTTCTTGTGGCCATGCAACGGTATCTGTTGTGACATATATCCCTGTGTTTGATACACTTGCGGCGGCGGTGTTGCTTGCGCACCTCCTCCTAGACGATCCTTTGCATTAGTCGAACTTCCGTACTTATCCAATTGTTGATGACCCTGGTAGACCTACAACAATAGCGAATAACCACAAATAAGAAATATTATGCTCAAAATAAAAACCGATGACTAGCCACAAACTTAACAGTTTTAATGTCAGAAATTTATATATTCCTCCAACCTTTTGCTGTTGAGAAGAAAGACGCTGATCCGAAAGGGAATCCTCAACATTTTGTTGCGCAAACATTTGATGATTTATTTTATGTTGTCCATTTGTAACATTTGGCAACATAAACGAGAATGGCAGCTGATTGATTTGTGGATGATAAGCAGCCGGTGGTACCTGAAATATCATGTTCTATTCTAAAAAGGTAAAAGTTATTTTCGTTGCAAATCAGAGAATTGAACCATAGGAAATCTTTGCTTTCAATGGCATCTTAATATTTCCATGAAATCTTATAAGCTGATTCTAAAATACAACACAAAACACCACAAACTTGAAATATCGAATTGATGTGATTGTGTTGAGGAAGTGTAAAAGCAGCAGCTGGTGGACCACTGAAACCTGGCGGTGGAGCGACCGCAGAACTGTTTACTGTAGCTGAATCACGTTGTTGTTGATTACCCAATATACCAGAGCCGGTTCCGCTTGCTATTGTACTGTTTGCTGCTGCAGCCGCAGCAGTTGCCAA